ACCCCAAATTCTCTGCGATTTCCAAGCTCAGACACTTCATCTCTTTGCATTTCGCGGCCGGGATTGCAAAGACCAATTTTTATTCTCTCTCTCTTTTTTTTTTCTTTGTTTTTTTTTTTTTTTTCATAATAAAGCAGATTTTTCTCCACACAAACAGCGACTCCTCACTCAGCTCTCTACCCCCTTTTTTCTCGCGTTAGAGACACACACATACATTTAAACATTTTAAGAACATCTTTGCCCCCGCAAGACAGCGACAACGCACAACATTTCCACGCCCGATTTCTGGCGGGGCAGAGAGCCCTCAACTGCATATTCGCCTTTCTCCCCGCTCATCTTCGCCGTGGATGATTAAATCCATTAACTAATCGCCGAAACGAGCTCCCGACAACGAACCGAGCGCTCCCCTTACCTTTCGCTTCGCTGTCAGAATTGTCAGTGCTGGTGTCAGTGTTTTTAGTCAGCTCCTTCTCTGCCTCCGAGGGGCTTATTTTGGGCGCGGGGCAGCTTTTTTCCGTTTTGATGGTGTCGTTCTGAGGGTTATCTGGTTTTGCGTTTTCGGGGAAATTCACTTTCCCCACCGGGGGAGGAGGAGGAGGAGGAGGAGGAGGAGGCGGCGGAGGTGGCGGTGCCGGTGCCGGTGGTTCCAGATGCTCGCTCCTCGCGTTCAGGCTCGCCCTGGCTTCAAAACTCGCCTCAAACTCACTGGGATTGCTGCAGTTGGACGTCTTCTCCACCGAGGGGTAACCTTGGCTGGCTCGGTAGTAGCTGGGAACGGGGACTTCGTGGTCGTTTAGGCAAGACTCAGGCAGTTGGTTGGGGTAGAGGGTTGGCTCGGGGGCGTTTTTGGCCCTTTTCTCCGCGTTGTACATGCAGCAAACATTCTCCTCCTTGACACTGGCGGGGAAGGAGCAGGACGGCAGCTGCCTGGCAACAGGTTGCTCGATCCTGTACGCGGTTTTGGGGTCACACCAAGTGTCTAGCTGCGACAGGTAAGACGGATAGGTGCTGAGAGACAAGGCAGCGCTATTCACCTCGTCCCTTTTGGGAAGGGACGGGAGGATTCCACAGTTCCTCATGACTCCGCAGCTGAAATCGCTCCCGGGCTGCATGTACATCCCTTGGCTGGAGGAATAATTCTCCCCTCTACAGGTACCGGCCAACGAGTCCATCAAAAACGAGTTGGAAGTCACATTGTCGGGACATGACATTTTCAGAGAGAGAGGGTTTTTAAGGAGGAATACTCCAGCCAGGGGCTGACATCTTTTTTTTAGGGGGGAAAAAAAAAAAAAAAATATCAAGCGACCATAATTATCCACGCATCGCTTTTCCCCCCCCTACA